ACATAGAAGAAAATTGTTTTCCTTGTCAAATAACGATGAATTAATCTCATCTTGTGATCTGACAAAGTTAATATTTTCAAGTCAAGATATCAACTTTAGTAAACCACAAGAAGAGATAAACATTTCATTTGACAAAATAAATTCAAGTCTAAAATATCTTTGTGATCTTCACGACCTTACTCAGAAAACCATAGTGTCAATGAGGCAGACTGACTGTAGGTGTAACAAAACGTGATATTTCACCTGATTTTAATAAAAATATTATTTATTTCACTCCAGCGAAAGTATGTTTTCAGCATGGTCAGACTAAACAAAGTATTTCATGATTAAATACATACCGGTAATACAAATATCAAAAGGTGTTTCATTAAAACAAGAGTGAATTTCTGTGTGACATTGATATAAAGAGCTGTAGTACACTGTCATTAAATTGATGCATCTGTTGAGCTAACTGTTCCTTAAATTTCTATATTTCAGAAGAATGTTATTTTCTAAATAAGCTAAATTTTGAGAGAAGGTGAATATGCATTGTTTATAAAAAAATTAATTGAAGTAGAAATATTATTACAATATTATTGAATTATTCATTTCAGGCCAGCGAGTCAACACAATGAAGTACTAGTATCCGGTGATGGATGTCTGGAGGAGCTTTCTGCTAATAGTAACACACTGGTTACAATGTGCGTCCTGTCAAAGGACGAGGAAGTGAAAAGCCATATTCATTCAATCAACAAATGTGCTTCCTCTCACATTTCACTTAAATAGGACGAGGAAGTGAAAAACCTTATTCACTCACAAAACAACATGGCAAATATATATGAGACACTAAAAAAGCACATTGTACCATTTGTTTACAAGCAAGAAAATTATTTTCTCCTGGAATTTAATTAGGTGCTTTTGACTGACAAAGACACCCGGTCAAAGTTAAGTTTTGAAAACTTATATTGTGAGAAATTGTTAAATATGAGAAATCTAGATTGTTCCATCAACATAATTTGTACCGATACATAAATTTTATCTTGGCTTGATTACCAATTGAAGTTGATTCCTTTTTATTTATTTTTTTATTTTATCTGTACTCATATCTGATCAAGAAATTTTCAAACTATTCAGGATAAATGTATTAGTAGCTTCCTTTTGATACACAATTACCTATCATCATACAGGATTAGGCGAGGGTGTTCAAGAAGTTGGTGGTTGCATCAATTCTTATATTTCTTCAATTTCATGCAATATTTATACTTATCAATTTTAAGTTTCCTTTTAACTTATTTTAAACAGTTCACACATTATTACTTTTGTCGTGCACGGTGCAATCTCAATCGGCAATCATCAGTTAAGTAACTGATGTTTGAAGAACAAATAAAGTATCATCTGTCATTGTACACACTGAATAGAGGTATCGCCACGTCTGAATATTTATTTTGACACGAATTATTTTGTGAACTAATTTCATTTACATCGTGATATGTTAAGATGAAAATCATAGCAGAAAAAGTGTCTTTTGTCAACTGGACTCATGGCAAAACGATAGTGCTTGTGTAATGGAACAATTATTCAAACTGACTACAACTCCGGGAAATCAGCATTATCAAACAATACATTAAATATAACTTTACTGGTATTCTAGTATCAAAAGAATGCAGCAATTAATATATCATATCCAGGTGACTTTCAACATTTCCAGGTATTAATAGCACTGATTACCACCTCTAATATGATTTTGGACATTTAACCAAAATCAGTGTCAGTAGCCTCATAAACCGATTCGTCAATGGCATAAATATTTACACCCATTGACTCAATTATATGTTTGGTTTCTGTCTAGTTACACAATTAGAGAGTTCTCGTAGAATAGACCAGAAGCTATTACTGTTTGGGAGGCACGATGAAATCTTTTTACAAATGTTTTCATCATATAGTCTCTTTTTTGTATGAAGAGTGTCACGGAGAGTGGTTGTGGAATTATTCCTCGCTTTTAGATAACGATTTGAGTTATCAACTTTAGTGTCTTTGAGTAGATAACACGATAATTATCTACAATATCAATAACTATTATCATAAAAGATACAATAATTAAGCACAAAAATTTAACTACGTCCTATCAATTACTATGCATGTATCCTTTTCCATACATTTAATATACGTAAATGTCGCGTTGATTGTTGATTCATCGTTTTAGATGCTATTTCATTCATAATACTGTTTTGTTTTTGTTTCTTTTTATTTTGATGATAATAATCATGAAAAAGAAAAGTATTCTAACTGATATAATAAGAGTTCGAAGTTCTTACAATAATATAATTACAGAGCCATGAAGATCCGGGTTAGAATAGGTCTTCAGCAACCCATGCTTGCCGTAAAAGGCGGCTATGTTTGTCGTAAGAGATGAAGGGGATCGGGTGTTCAGGCTCTCTGACTTGGTTGATGCATGTCATCGTATCCCAATTTCGTGGATCGATGCTCATGATATCAATCACTGGATTGCCTGGTGAAGACTCGATTATTTACAGACCGTCGTCACATAGCTGAAATATTGCTGAGTGCGGTGTTAAACAACAACCAATAGATTACATCGCTCTAATTTCATTGAAGGTGGTTATGTTTTATTGATTCGACATTCAAATGATGCAATCAAAACAGGTTGTTTGCCCCAGGTAGACTCTCTCTGGTGTAATATCGTAGATTTTAGAGACGCTTGTGGCAGTCTGTGGCTCAGCTGTGTCATATTCGGCGTGTGTACGGACAAGTGTTTGTATTTTGAGTGAGTGAGTGAGTGAGTTTGGTTTAACGCCGCTTTTAACAGTATTCCAGTTATATCGCGGCGTGTCAGCTTAATGTGGGAGGAAAGCCCGAAAAGATGCAGGTCTCAGACGTTTACCACTTCGGTGAAACCCACGAGCACTGGTATGGTGCTGACCCAGAAACATAATCGGGGCGAACCGGGATTCGAACCCACAATCATAGGTTTCTGGCGTGCCCAAGTGAAGCAACTTTGCACAGCGAATCGCGGCGCCTTAGACGACTGGGCCACCCGTGCCCCTGTTTGTATTTTGATATCAATCAGCAGAATGAATAAGTAACAACGTTTACATGTTTTGACATCAAGATGATTAATATTATAGATAAGATAGCTACGCGATTAATCGAAAAAGAACAATGAAGAACGAAGCGTGGTTTATGTCACGATAAAAAAATTGTTCTATCCTGAAGTCATTTCTAGAGATTTGAACATGCGCTCACAACTTGATGACGTCGTAAACTGGATGTCGTTATTTTTTAGAGGGAAATGTCTAGAGAGTTGTTCCCCATAGACGTACATGGACAATGTAAATAAACGCAATTGCCGAAAGATCGCTTCCAAAATTGGGAGAGATATGAGAACCGGCAGGAGAAAAGTTGCAGATAATCCAATGAAAATTGTGAGAATATTCGGGAAAGACCAACTTTGACCGACATTGCTGCGGTCGGGTTCTATTCATGGAGTCATCATTATATAAATACAGGTAATTTTAAAATATTTTTAAAGCCTGTACTTTTTTCTAACATCCTAAAAGAGGCTTACGTAATGTTGATATATGTTGTTCATCGTACAATAAAAACACTGCAGATAAACAATCCCAACTCATCATTTAGTTCTTAAATATATATGCCTGTATACTCAGTGTTCTATACACTGTCAGGTCATTTTCTACAATGCAGACATGTTTCTTCCACATTTACATTGACAACTGGCTAATATATCAGCTTTGTGGCAACATGCAGTGCAACATGCAAGATGAATTTGGTTGTCGTGTAATAATGTTTCATATCAACAAAAGATTTAGTTAAATGCGCACACCTGCATACACACACATTATCGACCGCTCATGCGCCGTTAGGTATCGTTGGAGGAAATATATTGTGTCAGTAGTTATAGATTTGTAACGTGAATGATAACAGTCTTTCCCACAATGCCCATAGCAATATCTCACAGCCAGTACCATACACAAATAACACACACTCCCTTAATAAATCTACAACGACATTTATGTCGATATAACAAAATTGTCGCATATTGTTTGGAGTCTCATTTGTCTTAAAAAGCCTCAAAATATTTATCATTTATTAACCTCATTTATTCATTCATATATGAATACTGACAGACAAATCGTTTTATTAAACAAACTTAATATAAAAAGGCTTGCTAAATCGAAAACTGTTAGAAGAAGGGTTCTTCAGTATATTGATGGTTGTAATTACCCCGATCAAATGAATATATGCATATTTACACATGTATATCGCGATATAAGTGCAATAATCTTGGACGCGACGTTAAACCCCATTTCACCTCACCTACACATGTATATGTATTTTCGATACTTTGCCATTCAGTCTTACATATAAATACATTGTCCTAGATATATAATACAGTATGTACACCAGTAGATCTATTTTAAAAAATAATTAAGGAATCTTACAATCACCATCTCCCCGACCAATATGACTACCCTATTTAATAATAATAAATAATAATATAATAACAGTCAGTCTAAAATAAAAACCTCTTCTTAATATCCTAGCAATACGCTATATTTGGCTTCAGGACATCCTGTGCATCCGTTACCAACATGCGAATATTGACAGTGGCTTTATAACCTCCCTGTCCCTACTGTGCAGTTAAACCAGGTAAGAGAAAGCTTATCTGTTGTCCATACAGGTTTTATGTAGGTCAACTATATATATGACAGGCAATACAGGCTAGCTCTGGAAGGTGTATTGCCCACTCATTCACGTAGCCATTTTGGGATATTATATAGTGACCTAATACATATTGACTTACAACATGTAATGTGGAAATAACGAGCAAAATGAACACGTTACTGAGATACGATAGGGCGATAGGCTCTGGTGAACACAAACAACACATCACGGTCTGTTGACTTGCTCCATACCTTGCTCTACAGGTAGGTCTCGCTAACCTTTATAGTAGGTCAACTATTTATACAATCAAATCTTACCTCTGAACATAGGCAGGAGAACACGATGGTAATGAAACAGTGCTTCAATGTATCCATGCTGGTGTTTGAAACTGTGTCACAGAACTTCTCAAACTTGCTTCACAGAGAACATATTCCTCTTTTTGTCTTTGAAACACACCCAGTCAACTTCACTATGTGAACACTGTCGGGTGTTGTTCGGTAATATACTTCTCAATTTCCAACACAGTTCTTCCCTGCCTGGCTGTCGGTTTAGTGTCCCTTCCCCGAGTCCTGCTGCCCTAGACCCCGGTGAGCGATTGTGTAAGACTGCCTCCACCCGTTTGAACCACCCGAGCAATTTACTTCCTCATTCTGTCTGTCAGACCACGTGACAGGATTGTGTGTGACCTCTGAACTCACCTAACAAAACGCTTATCGTGTCTTCCTTCTCGCTTCAGACACACACACACAAACACACAAGTGTTCTCGCGCAGTAGCGTCATGACCAGGCATAAAAGTGACAGGGTTGTGTTTCACTCCCTCCCTGTTTGCGTTATCAACGGATTACAAACCACGTTTGCATTTATACGTACACAATCGCTATTACCAACGCCAAATGGGACTATTATAATCAGTGGATGGTCCTAGGGGAGGGGGTTAGGAGGTTAGGAGAGGATGTGGCGGTAAGTCGGGGTAATCTTTTGACTCTAACATTACATTTTATGAATCAAAATGAGAAAAAAACCACTTAGCACTTTGTATTATTACAGTATAAACACAAGATGGAGACTTGACAACCCCGCCCCTGCCCTCAACACACACATTGAAGTATACAATTCAAAACGTGCACTCCTTATTCTCCCTGACTTGCCTCTGATAGTTGTCTAGATCTGTTACCAAATATAGGAAGTGAAGTCATGTTTTCCTGCCCGCAATAAAATATAGAATATTGACTCAAACTGTTGATGCGTTTTACGGATCCTCTTTCGCTCGTGCCTAGTATGAGCTCGGTGATGCTTTATTGTATATTATATATTCTTTTGTTTCTCAGCAATCTGTGCCCTCAATATGATAATTACTGATGTAAGCAATCTTGAAAGAAGTTCTTTGTAGCCACAGCCTTCACGTGTACGGTGATCAAATGTATTACGATATAGGGATTTTTTTCCCATAAATACATTGATTGATGAATGGTCTAAAAATAAAATCACATAACATTATCATTTATCAGGACAGTGTATGAAACAAACATGTGGTAATTGTAAAACACAATATATATTTTGAGTCGACATGACTCGAACTGACGGATAAACATCTGTGAGTATTGGAAATGCACGGCCGTCGCATAACCTCTATATAATAATCACAAAGCTTGGGGTGTGTGCATTTCATTGCGGACATCGAAAAAGAAATAATACGAGGTCAGATACAATTAAGGCGCTATAAGGGAAAATGTGACATAAAATATCTGTGGATAAGTATTTTAATGATTCTCGGTATTTAATGTTTCATCAACGTCTTCCGTATATATTTACACTTTATGTGACAAATATATATTTGTCTGATCCGGTCAAATTAACAAACTCAAAAACGTGTTATTGTTGTATTCATTGAAGTCGTTCATGAGTCATGTTTATCACACCATACGTCCTCTTCCTAGCCAGGACAATACGCGTGTAGCAGATAACAAAAGTTGTGATGGAATCTTGCCAGAACTCAGATTGTTCGAATCTAGCCTCCCATTTATGTCGCCCCGTATACACGTTCAATTACGCGTTCTTAATTGTAATAGTAACTAAGTCTGAATTGACAGCATGTAAGGCCTCAACAAAGCTTTCAAAAAGTTTGATGGTAGACATCTTTGAGACATTACCAAATTTAATACATCAGTGACAATATTGATGTCAGATCCAATGCATTATTTTAACTTTCTGAACAATTGACTTGCTGTCGTATGTTTTCGTGAGACATGATATGTAGGTGTGTCTAGGTAACCACCCTCCCGAAAAAGCCTATTCCAAAAAGGTGTCCAAAATCATAATGAGAAATTAGCATAAACTGATTATATTTATTTCTGATATTGGTTTTCGCATGAATTACAACACATTTGTTCACTTCAAATTACTGTTAAAAGTTGACGCTCTCGTTTGCAAACGTCCTGCTCGGAAATGAAAACATTGTCCTGAAGTGTTTAACTTATTTCTGTGAACATCAACGGCCTTTTTATATAAGAGGACAGGAATTTGTTCATGTCAGCTATTGAAAGAGGTAACAGATTGAGCTGTACGACCGAGCTTAGTCTTATGCAAAGGTATTTGTGGAAATAAAATGGTACTTAAACTTGATTAATTTATGCACCGATTATTTGCATGATTGAAAATATATCAACAGCGTGCAAAACTGACGTTGCCGTTGTGCATGTTTGGAGGGCTATGCAGTGTCCCGGTAAACGACAATGCTGGGTTATATGTCTGTAGCGTCATGGCTGTTTGATTCAGGAAGTAAAATGTAAATCCTCTAGGTTAAATTGTATAACATACATTTAGAATAACGCGGCCTGAATCTACAAAATCTTGTGAAAGCTAAAGGGACTATAAGCTTCGAGTTTTACATATACGTGTGTAGGGATTGAACAATATGATAAGTTAAATGAATAATACTAAAGAGAATAGGGATTGAAACTCTTCTGAAATTGTCAATTTACATGTAAGGCAGGTATTTGATAAATGAATGCTCGTGTGATATTGAATAACTCGAGTGTTCACCTGACCACATTGTGTCACATGTTGTCAGGAAAAGGAGAACCATATAACGAAGAGAATAGGGATTGCATCTCTTCTGAAATTGTCAATTTACATGTAAGGCAGGTATTTGATAAATGAATGCTCGTGTGATATTGAATAACTCGAGTGTTCACCTGACCACATTGTGTCACATGTTGTCAGGAAAACGAGAACCATATAACGAGGAATATTGTTAATCAAACCACGCCCATACATAACCACACATCTAGTGTGTGTACACTGAACCGATAGCGTGACACGCTACAACGAGGCGTCCTTCTTTTCAATAACAAGTTTCTTCCTGGTGGAACGTTTGTCCCTGCCGAACAATAGAACAACCAGGACAACATAAATGACAGTAAATTATTTGTAGCTGTACATTTCATTGATTTGGTTGAAATAGTCATATGAAGTGTTAAGTGTCATACCAAGTGGCAATTAATGATTCGCCTTAGATGTAAAAGGGCATTGTGTACTGTTCCATATTGTAAGCCGAATCTAGATCACCCCAATAGCATCTCATCCGTATATCTGTTTTATTCACAATAGTAGGTGCAGTTCACAGACAATAAGAAAGAAAAGATTGGGCGTCAGTGTTGAGTTATATTGTAGATACGTGCTTGACACACTTTTATTTGTAGTCTATGAGGAAACCGTAGACTAATCAGATTACATTTAATGTTTTCATGTCCGTCCCGACGCTTTATTTAAAACTATTAGTGTCGACTGTCTTTATGTGCGCCCCAATCCTATATTTAACACAGTTCGTGTCGACTGTTCTGATGTCGACTCCAATCCTTTATTTAACACTGTTCATCTCGACTGCCCTCATGTCCACCCCAACCCTTGATTTAACACTGTTAGTGTCGACTGTCCTGATGTCTACTCCAATCCTTTATTTAACACTGTTAGTGTCGAGTGTCCTCATTTCCAACCCAACCCTTTATTTAACACTGTTAGTGTCAACTGTCCAGATGTTGACTCCAATCCGTTATTTAACACTGTTAGTGTCGACTGTCCCCATGTCCAACCAAACCCTTGATTTAACACTGTTAGTCTCGACTGTCCCCATGTCCACTTCAATCCTTTATTTAACACTGTTGGTGTCGACTGTCCTCATGCCTACTCCAATCCTTTATTTTAAACACTGTTGGTGCAGACTGTCCTCATGTCCATCCCAACCCTTTATTTCACACTGTTCGTGTCGACTTTCCTCATGTCGACTCCAATCCTTTATTTAACACTGCTAGTGTCGACTGTCCTCATGTCCACTCACATCCTAAATTTAACACTGTTAGAGTCGACCTCTCTCATGTCCACGTCAATCCTTTATTTAACACTGTTAGAGTCGACTGTACTCATGTCCACTCCAATCCCTTCTGTATTTATGTTGGTGTCTAATCTTCTCCATGTACACACCAAGGCTATATTCAAAACTGTTGGTTTCGAATGTCTATACCGGATAACACAAACGCTATTGATAAGTATCTTGTATTACTCGATACTGAGTTTGTGTTGAAGTTGTGACTAAGCTTAACTTAGGCCAATGCTTTTTCGATTTGTTTAAAAAAACAACATGTTTGTGACACTCCTTTCAGTCAATCCACTTTTCTCAAGGTTTTGGATTTGTTTGGATATATCAATCGGTTGGTGATCACCTATCCTTTCTGTACTTATTCAAGGTTACGTGTATCAATGTTTTCTTCCTTCTGTTTATATAAAGGATTTACGAGCGTATTGGAACGAGAGAGATATCTCTTGATCGTATCGCACAGAAACTTCGGAAATATTCATTTTTTAGATTTAAGCGGGTCTTTTTAAATTGGAGAACAATGAAAGGAGATATTTGGCTATGAATAGATCACTGAGAATATGGCCAGTTTGCAATTACAAAATTTAGAACAAATTCCACGTTATATTTATTTGTTTATATAATAAATAATTTAGCAAATACTATGAAAAAAATTATGAAAATAACCTAGCTTCAATACCCGTATGTGATGTTTGGGCACAATGAACGTTTATAAAAAGATTTATCACACTACTTACTATATGCTTACAAAAAAACGAAAATCGATTGTAATGAACTGACATAGTCCGTACCAGCTGCGCGTAAATGGTTTAGTATATGGGCCCGAGGGCTTTCTTCATCTTCTTCAATTGTATATATTTGTAGAAAAAGCCTCACGAAATGGTGAATATGTTTTGTAATAAATTTGAAATGTGTTTAGGAAAATACAATAGCGATAGACACGTTTACATGGATAATTCTTTTCACTATCGTCATAAGTTTGTGTTGTCTGTGTCCTAAATGAACATACGAACAGGTGAAACTGTTGTCAAAGTACTATGCCTGTGTGTCTAGCATCCGGCAAATAACACTATTTGTGATCTGGTACATTTGTAGTACACCGGTGGAAAGCATGCATCCCATGGATCCGCCCAACTGCATTTCGACAAAGCTCACAGCACAGCTGTGACAGAGGGACGAACGTCACTTGTATAATGTATTCTTCACGAGCGCTGGTGTAAGGGAGGGAACTCGGGTATTCACTCTAAGTAAACAAACAACGCTCCATGTGAACAGGCTCAAGACAAAGACCATGACGACAAGTTAATGTAGTCATTCAAACCACATAATTGTCATACTAACATGATCCTCAGACAATAATGGTCGGATTACAAACGAGTAGGATAAGAATGGCTGTTTCACCTTTGGCGTTTGTTCCTTTGCAATAACGTTTGGCTTTTAATTGTTTCAATCATTATTTGCCTGACGTAATGACAAGAAAGGACAACGTTTGACAAAATTGTTTTTAAGACTTTTACTCGCCAGTAACCCCACTAATCCGGATGGTACACCTCCAAGTGAGATGCAACGTGATATCATCGTTCAGATGGCAGGGTTTCCAGACTAACTGCACTTCTCGTGAACATGTTGTCACTGTCACTGTCCATGTGGTCGGAAGGTGTGATGTGTCTATGAATGACACTATGTTTGTTTCTTTCTCTGCTCAACCCTAAACATCCCATCCATTACTCAATTCGGCCGTCATCATCCTACCATACATGCCCCTACGAATACCATAAGATTGCTTATCCAGCATGCTGCATCTATCCTTGCCATCTTGTACTATATATAGTCATATCTTGGAATGTCAGCATAATTAGTGAGTAAAAGTAAAATAAATAACGCAGATTTCCATGTTTCCAAATCTATGGTAAAAATTCAATAATAATAATAATCGGGGTTAATAATCGAAACCACAATTAGTGACTTCTCACATGTAGCTACTGCTCGCAAATATCCACCTAGATTCAACGAATTCTGCCGTCCTACCGGTTCTTATACAGATACAATATAGCTGACTATTGAATCAAGTATTTCCCCACATGTTAGAGCACCATTCGGGGCTTCTGACTATATCGTTGCAACTCCAACTTAGACAAAAATATTCGATTGTCCGATTGTAGGTAGTACTGTATACTATTTTAGTGTTAACCATTGTTCAAACCGATCAAAGCCTTATCAACGAATTCGCAGAGCTGGGTCCTTCATGCGTGGCCTGCCCGAAAACGATGATCATGGGCTCCAATCATAGATTCGCTTTGTCCAGACTCGATAAGCCAGCCGGTCCTGTACAGCTGTAATAGTAGTGTCTGCGGAAAGTGACTAACAACTATGTTCGAAATGACACGCTTGAGAAATGATGTGTACCGATAATGTGTCAAGCACCTCGTTTTTATCGTCGACAATGAGATAATGTCCTGATGGTGTTACAATCCACGTCAAATCGAAAGGTCCCAAAACGGGAATTTGTGTATGGCACAGTACGACGTTCATTAACAATGTCAATTTCAAATAAACCGGACACATTGTTGTCACAGTAAATAAAGATTCATGACTGTAAATGACATATATTTGGTCAGTGTCACATAAACACATTTATTACATTCCAATAACAGGCGTATTACATTAATAAAAGATACAACATCTAATTTTCCCAAAAGAAATTGTGTTAAACCAAGTAACATCTACTAAACCTTCATGCTGAAATACAATTTGGACACTTGAGATGAAGAATTGTTTTGATTAATTGCCGATTATTTTGCGACCTGAACTAATCCTAAACATACTCTTGATCCTTTTATTTGGATTGTCTGTATTTTGAATACACAACCCTTTTAGAGAGTTGTGAAATGTAACAAATGATATATTTGGGAGTACATTTTCTTAGTAAAGTACAAATTCTAGAACTGTTTGTGATCCGGGATTCGAACCCCCACTCTCATAGTGAGATACCCAATCGCCAGCACAGCGATATAACCCACTCAGGCACTGAAGTCCTACAACTGTTAGTCTAGAACATATACCCCTGCCTGGGTCATATCGCTGACGGTACTTGTCTATACTGTTTTTGAAAAATATATTGAAGATCATATTCAAACTAAACAAGTGAAACGAACCCAAAATACCAAAATATAGATTATATATGTTTGTATATAATGGCCACATAGCCAATTCATTTCACCCACCAGTACCAAAAACAAAGTAGACCAGTGAAACCGCCTCATCTGTTTCATATTTAGGTCTGTGCATAAAGATCCAAAGTAACAAAAAACTATCCACAAGACTGATTACTTCAACTTTCAAATATTCACCTTTTGAGGCATCCATGACAAAAATGGTGTCGTGTCCGATTCACTGTTTTGACTTGTGCCATATGTACACGTGTTTTTTTAGGTGAACACTTGACTTGCCTGTGCAAGTGTAAGTGACGGGAGGCATCTTTTCAAGAACACCTGTCATCATCACTATTTGAGAGTGATTCTTTAACACATGCTTATGACAGTCGAAATCGCACAAAGGCCTCGGCTTTACGTAGAGATTCTTCATGATTATTGAAATGGTTTTGATTGAAATGATTTGAGACAACAGCATACAGTTGTATATTTTGCACATAATCAATGTCATATTCTTACATTTTAGCATTGAAAAGATAGGACAACATGATCGAAGGGTAACAACGTCAACAGGTAATCATTAGAGATGGAAAAGCAATCATGGTACAGCAAAGCCTGTGTCTATTGGGTGTATCAGCCATAACACCTGTCTCGCACATTAATATACGTACATGTAGGTTCATACACCAGGGTGCATACTAATCACAAACTACAAAGCAATGTTATTGCTTCTAGGCTTACATTTTGCATTGCAGAAAACATGCAAGTTATTCAATATACTACTGCTTCTTGTTGTCTTATTTAAACCTGGTTTCAGTAGTTATCCTTCCATAATCATGACCATCTGCATTCTGGTAAGTTGCAAGCTGGTCGTACGTATTATCTGGGTCCCGAGGGGACTGTCCAGACACATAGTTTACATAACCCTCATTACTGCGACTGCTGTTGACAGTCACCATCTGAGCATCAGGAATCTCGTCATATGTGTCATTTTGGTCTGGGTGAAACTTTGCGATCACTTGATTTCTGTTCTTCTTTGGCCTTTCCCTTTGTGCTTTTCTATAAGAAATGAGAATTCTTTTATGTAGGCACATGGATATCGAAGAATTGGTGCACCGTTTAATAACTTCAGTGACTCAGAACAGTGTGTTTTATATATTGTGTGTTACAATCCTGTGTATTTCAGTCACATGGTTGTATATGCTGTGGCGTGGTGGTGGACAGTTACTGAGAAAACCAGTCCTGTCGCTGAAAGTCGAATGAGTCACCAGGACGGGCGATAAATTACAGCAATCTTTACTTAGGAGTAAGTGAATGTTTAAAGTCAAAGTAACTTTACAGCAATATCACGGCAGTTTGGCTGAGATTGCTAACTTTGTTGCCTGTTGTATTTCTATTCGTTGACTATGTTCTATGAATAGAAACAGCTGAAGGGATGAAACAGAAGCTATAGCTTGATCAGGGTTTCTAGCCGATGTACCCTGGCCAGTGTTGATGAATTTGCAAATGTAACATTGCACTCACCTCAGAAATTGCAAATAGGAAATGGAGATAATAGATAGAATTGTAAAATGATAACATGTCCTTTCACAATCACATTTACGATTAAATATTTACAGAATCAGCTTTTAAACTAAGTTATGGCGGCCTATAAACGAAGCTGTCTCAGCTCTAAGATTGGCGTAAATGAGTCGTGTATCGAAAAACAACCTAGCTAAGTCTACTCTCGAAGCTGTTTTAGTGCAAAGCTTTTTAAGTTTACGAACAAAATTAAGACAGGGTCGGACCTGTCGTCGGTGCGACGATGGCGGCTAAAAGATAGCATGTTGAAGAAAATAATTCGACAGTATGTGTCTACTGTATCCTTTCTTACCACAAAACCGTGTGTTTTTCATATTGCACTTTCAAAACACGAACAACATATCCCACAAAACACCTCTGAAACATTGTATTTATCGATTATGAGTAATGCCAAACTTCACGTCGATAACAGATCAAATGTATGTGTGTGTGTGTGTGTGTGTGCGTGCGTGCGGGCGGGCGTGCGTATGGATGGATTGATGGATGCGTTTCATTGTTATCTGTTCAGGATTTCTTCTCACAACCAGCAAAAGGGTGTTCGTTCATTTGTGTTTGATGCAATCTATCTGTTTTTGGCATTTTACCATACTGATATTATGCACGTATTTCATGTCCTGGTAATGGTGTCCCTATTGGTAGAGATGCCATATAGTGACAGTCTACAGGAAAAGATAAAGCTTAAAGAATGTCAGAAGGAAATCCTGAACCTAAAACAATGAAACATACATGCATACAGGATATTCTATTTCTTTCGTTTGTGTTAGCTTCAAGAATGAAATAGGTATCGGTCATTTTCAACTCGGGAATTTTCATGATTTTTTGTTTCAAAGTAAGATCCTCAGAAGATATGCACAAATGACCTTATTCAATGTTAAATAGAATCAGTATCGATACAAATATTGAATCAACTGGCCTGGCATAGCGTCCAAATGCTTTTACTTGTACTTGAGATTATTCATAGCCCCGGGATAGCAAAGTTGTCTCACGCTTCAGTCAAACAATATCAGCTGAATCATTTCACAGTCTTAGCAATTAGACTATCTGTAGTTTGATTTGAATATTGTTTCATAAGTTATCGCCCAAGCTTTTGTTTACACATATTTCGGTTGCAGGTGTTTTTAAAGCGAATGAAAAGAACGTCGTTAAATGTGAGTCCCCGTATAAATCGCAACAATAGATCATGTATATAACTTCGACGTTGCACATGTAACGCCCCCGAGAAAGCTAAAGTGGTGTTGCGTTGTGTCGCAAGTTTGCGTTCATTGCTACTTATTTACGCATTTTTTTGTATTCACATTTTTGTTTTCCTTTGGCATCATCATTTTGAACTCTATTTGTTAGTCTTCAATACTTATTATATCTATCTATAAAAGACAACAGTTTTACGTTAATACTTCATTGATCAATTGTACATAACAATAACATATGGCTGCATCCTTAATCATATCATCAACATTTATAGTCAATAGTTTTTTAATAGTTTATCATGAGCCTTACATAACATATAAAACAGAAATAAGATTTCAATCTAGGGAAATCCCTGAATGACCGATGACGTCATTGGGAAACAACCAGCTTATTTTATCTCCGTTACAAAAGTGCTCCCTGTCTAAGCTAATATTTGTGTGTTAAGTAAAGTATTGTTGCGAAAGGTTTAAGACAGCTTCAAGAATAGCTCATATGGCAGTCGTAATTTTTGTCTAAGTCTTAGCTGAATCAGCTTCATAATTAGGCCGCCTAGGCATGCTTTCGAAATAAATCACACTTACTTTCGTCGCAGAATGATAAAGATGCCTATTACAACGAGTATGACAACTACCGCAGCAACTACACCTCCGACCACAGCAGCAACTGGTACTGGTGCTGAAACACACATGTCATTGGGAGATACATCAAATCGTAGTCACTTCAAGTATAGGTATGTTCATCGTGAAGTCAATGTTTAGAGCAAATTGGTGTTTACCTGATGTTGATATTTCTATTCCGTTGCTCGTAGTGCATCCATTATTCGTACAAGAAAATGCATACACGCTGAAACGAAAAAAAATTGTTGCAAAATAGTTTATGTAAAAACAATATAATGAAAAACAGAACATGTCCACATTGACTTTGAAACTTCTTTAAACCGCTTCATGAAATATACATTTTGTGACCATGCAAGATGGTCTGTAACTTACATAAAAGTTTCTCCTGTGGGGAGTTTTCCATTACAAAAGAGATTCTTCGTGTTTCCACTGCAATCCTCATTTCCGAGAGTAAAAAGTAAACTTGATTTTCCTGTAAATACAAAACAACATACAGGAATGACAATACAGAGTGTGATTTGAGTATTGTGTCAGCTGGTATGTGACACAAGATACTCGAATAAAGAATCCGAGTCCTGCAGGAGAAGAAACTATCTTTCCGTTTACATAGTTATACAAGAGATACAGAGATATTAAACCATGTGTGGAACGTAAACTCATTAATACATTTTGGTCATGGTTTCCAGGCACATTTAAACATCAAGCATGACGTCTTTGAAATTCATCTAGAAGTGATACACATAAGGAAGAGAATATATATTGGTGTCAACTTCTTTATTATGAGGAACACAACGTTTTGGAATACATGCTTACTCCTTCATCAGGTGAATGAATGCAATGAGACAGAGAGCATATAAAATTTATATGTATGGGTAAGGACAACAAAATAATAAGATAACAAAAGGTGGAAAATGACAAAGGGTAGAAACTAACAAGGGATGCTAAATGCTGATTGGCGCTGATAGGTGATTAGCAATAGACAATGGAAGCCAAAACTTTACACTAATTAGCGCTGAAGGTATGGAAGCCAGTACTTAAGTTATCATAGATAAGTAATAGGTAATAAATGGAAAGCTGAAATTTACGAATGTAGTTCCACCAGTTGCGCGCGATCCCCAAATATTGTGGGCCCTGATTTCATAAAATTTCATAAAATTATTATTAGCACTAAGCCAGTCTAAAACAATATGCATATCACACTCAGCATACAAAACCTACTTTCTAAAATCCGGCTCATTTGCAGCCATGTCTATTCAGTAATAATAAAGTTTTAATTTCATTGTCAAATTTGTCTTGATGCTACAGTGTATAAATATATACAAAATGTGATTCATAATATTATACTACAGCGGGTATTTGTCGCTTTACGTTTTAAACCGTGTTTTTTTCTGCACAACCGTTCAAAAGATGACAGATGGGCCAGTGTGAGGTTAACTCAACGCTATCCTTCCTTAACTGTTGAACTAATTATGAGTGTCTTCAAGGCGTTCCATATCATCAATACGTACCACTAAGTCCATCAAGCCAGTTATCTCTTGTTGCTCTGTAGGGAATACCAAAATTCTGTGCATTGGCTGCATTCCAGTTGGCCATATTGTCATAATCCACTGCAGAAGTAGTTTGACGAAGATTTCCTGTATATTGATATGCAAAATGTATATGGTACAATGAAATGTCGACCAAACTTTAAAATCTATGCTCATGGACGTTGGACATAATGACTGAGAACATTACAATTAAATTTTAATACTGCGTTGACTCTTTTTTGCAAAATATGTAACCACAAAATATTAAGCTTTTTTCCACTTTGTGAGTCAGGTACATCTAGTAATCGAACGTTCACCTGTGCATTTGCGCATAGTTCACAAAAATATGTCAAAACAGTCAAATATTGAGAAGACCGCCAAAACTTACTGTCTTGCCCACAGTTGTCTTTTCGACACACAATGAGCCCCGTCTTGTTTACTTGGCCATTTGTGCGATCATGAAGACAGCGGGGACAAATGAGCAATGGTGGCGTCTCCGATTGCTCCGTTCCCTTTTTCACGGAATTGATAATTTCCGTCTGTAATGGAGCTAAGAAATTGCAAGCGAAAAATCAAAGGATGAATGGATGCATCTTCTTTATTAAATGTACTTATAGATGAACATGTATCACCAAGCAAAGATGATATATACATGTCTGTCAGATTACGTGTTTTCATGATTATTTTGATTTTTCATCATCAATGCATCTAATGCATTACATTTATAAAAGTGGTAAATATAAAGATACAGATATTGTAAATTGAAATTCTATCGTTTTGCTTTCTGCATCCTTTCTTAAAAGCATAAACAAGTCAGATTTGGTATTCATTAAAATATTGATACTTACGTCCGCCTTGTATGTAGATACTTGTTTTTACCACAGCACCAACGAAGCCCCTGTTGTAGAGACGAATCTAAACATAATTAACCTACGATGAGACAATCATGAACGGGAGATGAGTATGGAGATGCATGCTATTGACGTGATAAATACATATGTGTGTGAGTGTAAGGGGTGGGAAAGACCAGTAATATCAGGTCATTTGATGTGTACAAATATTGCTTGACCTGAAACTATCCTCTATCAATGGAACTAGAGGTAATCACCATTCGTCATGTTATCCTACATACATGACCCACCTGGAACTCGTACAAGAATTCTGTAGTGACTGTAACAGTCTGGTCCCACACGCAGTCAGTTCCTACGGCTGAGAAGTTAATATTCTTCCGTACAGGTTCCACATACACTGCCGGTTGCTGGAAAGAAAATACTCAGTTCAAATTTAACGTGCGATTGCTTTGTGTTGAGGTTTTCAGTGAAGCCAACTTTACTCTAGGAGGTACATGTAAGCCCTATTACCCAGTAACACATGGACTGAGATACTATGCAGTAACATATCAACAGATATATTTTTGTTTGTGTTGTTTGTTTGTTGTTTAACTCCGCACTCTGCAATATTCCAGCTATATGACGGCGGTCTGTAATTAATTGAGTGGACCAGACAATCCGGTGATTGATATCATGGGCATCGATCCACGCAACTGAGAAACGATGACATTCAACAACCAATTCAGCGAGCCTGACCACCTGATCCTTTTCGTCGCCTCTTACAACAAGGCTGAAGACCTATTCTACCCCGCATCTAACAGTTCCTGTAAGCCCACCGTGACGCACAAGTACAAAAATGCACGTTCTGGCTTCTCGTGAATGAAACTAGAGTTGAGTATATCTATAAATCTGAATTTAATGTCAAAGTGATACACGGTCACACGGTTGACCACGGCGTTGGTTCCCAGGGTGAGTGTGTGTGTGTGTGTGTGTGTGGGGGGGGGGGGGGGGGGGGGGGGTTTCACAGCACAACACTACAAGTGTCTTATTAACACATTCATCTTACGTTTGTAAAGAAATTCAGGTTGGCGTTGACAATTTCTCCATTTCGTCCATCCTTCTGTTTGGGACACTTCCACGACACTTGAATCTTGTTAAACACATCAGGAACTTTCTCGATCTTGAAGTTCGTCACATTAATTGGTTCTGGAGAGATGACAGGAGAACAGTGTAAAGATTTTGGTAGGAAGTTAAGTTGAAGACTTTTAGCAGAACCCAATGCTTAAACAAGAATTTTTGTCTTATTTATAGCGTGTGTCCACACATGATCGTACTCATGTTAACTGTGACATAAATAGATTCAATTAACCAGTGAAATATTCACGATCTCAGTCTTAGTACCAGATTCCATCGTTCTCGCAGGCATGCCGCTGACAATCGCCGAAGGACCAATGCTTGTCTGAGCTACAATATCAGCCTTGTAATGCCAATAGCTGGAGAGATTGCCAATGGTATACGTCTTGGCTGCCCAATCTGAAATATTGAGTCCCTGAATGAACATAAAGATCGTATTTAATTATATAAATATTTAAACCATCAAGGATCACAATATTTAAAAAAAACACAAATGTATTAACATTCAAATAGTCAAATGGGCAAATATATTTTCCATGCCAAGTTTGGCTACAGATACGCTACATAATATCTCTGCAATTCTATTCACGGAAATTTGCTCAGAAAGTTAATCGTTTAACTAATGTTATCCATCGTTGGTAAGATTGAGGATTGGAACGTGTAAATAGTTCAACAATAAAAAAGGTCTAATTACCCAAAGGGAATACCGAATCTAGATATCATTCTATCTGGCCGTTCGTTGAATACGTTGAGTGACAACGAACATCATAATGCACCCATCAGATTTGGTTCTATTAATTCCATGATTGTTTCAACGATGAGAATGTAGTATAAGTTTAACTTTGATAATAATGAAGGGAAAGACATCAACACATCATGTGAAGTACAACACAACAGCTTTGTTTTGGGCGTACCATTTTGGTCAATCAAATGCATAAAAATTACATATCTATACCCATAATCATCCGAAATATCTGTATTTGAACACTACCTTATTCGTTATCCCTTGTTAATGCACATTCATTAAGAATATGCATATTTGTTGTATAATGAGATATGGGTGAAAAAAGAATATAATGATAAAAATTCGTCAACTAGTTTTTTGAAAGATCTGTACATTATATGTATTGTTTTATTAATCTGTAAAACTCTAAAAGATTAACAACCTGGGTACAATTTCCGAACATAGTGAATACATATTTGCATTTTCACACGTTAAATTCATCTTGTAAAACACTAATCTAAGGGATTATGTCCAGTGAATGTCGTATTCCAGCGCAGTCACGTCACATGGTACATGGAGGTAGCTGTTATCTTTTGGCAAATACTGATCAAAGTTCATTTTGTTTAAGGAAATCCTTATCTGTACTAACGTCAGGTAATATTTTATTTAGCATGAATGCATCATGTCGATGTATGTTGATTTCTTAATTTTATCGAATTGGTTTATGGCATCAATAACCTCTATATAATAACAAATGCTATGTGTAACAGAGCCAACTGGCTCAGGACCATTCCTTAAAATGAATCCCCCATAAGTGTAAAACAGAAAACAAACGTACCTCCTGAAATTGGTATGATCTTCAAAGTGTCGTAACCCACGCCGTCTTCCCGCTGTTCGTACACAGTTACGTTGTAACGAGTCACACCAGGTCTGGGCTGTGGAGGATCCCATGTCAGAGTTATCTCGTTTGATGACGTGCTCTGTGCCTTGAAGTTTGTAGGTTCACCAGCAGCTGAAATATATCAGTGTTGTATGAGTGGTGAAGAATTCAAATACTTGAGAGAGGGCAAAGGAGGCCCGGCCCAATAATTCTTTATAAATAGCGTGTACAGAAGCATACATTGTATAGTGTCATAATCTTTACTTCATTCATGTATCACAGATGACCTTCTGGCTTACGCCAAGGATGTCCTTTGTTGTTTCATTATCACATTAATTATTTATAATGGTAAACTTGGTCGTGGTCATGCTGTTATATCGAACAGCATTTATTTTATTATTTTTGGTTGTTTGATGATTGTGTAATATATGTGCATAATTAACACGGAAAGGTCCAAGATTTAGCTGCCTGGAAAAAGGGCTCTGTTGGAGGTTACAAAGGATATTAAGCAGACATATTTCAAAATACATAAGACTAAAGAGATCTAACCTGTCCCGCTATATATATATCTACAATTAGTATTTTTTTCAAGCATTATGATAAATAATCGTTATGCCCGAATAATGTCTTACATTGAAATAATAAAATGTTAACATGGTGAATGGGTTGTATTCCACTCGACCATGTTACCATGCAATATAATGCAATATGGCTTAGATATACAAAATCCAAGACAAATATTATATGTCACTTAATAGTGAGAAATGGATCTAAAAGACTTCATGTGAGTGTTTGAACAGATTTATTTTCACACGTTTCGTATAAACAATAGCTCAACGTATATTTTCAAATGGAAAAAACTGCGGTATGGTATCTCAGTGGGCTTGCACTATAAATCGGCATCAATTAAACAACGCGACGTTAAACAAACGTAGGTAGGTGAGGTGAGGTGAAATTGGGTTTAACGTCGCGTAGGTGAGGTGAGGTGAAATTGGATTTAACTTCGCGTCCAAGATTATTGCACATATATAGCGACGTGCATGCACGTGTGTGTGTGTGTGTGTGTGTGTGTGTGTGTGTGTGTCTGCTTGTACTAGTCCGGACTGATGCCGATTTATAGTGCTAGCCCACTGAGATACCATGCCGCAGTTTAACATGAATACCCCACTCAGACAAAGTATACTGACTCCGAACCGACCAGTCCTTGTTTTAGCGCCTTAATGCCGAGCCCAAGACAGGTAACAACAAACGTCTTTTGGTATGACGCGGCCGGGGATCGAACCCCGGACCTTCCGCTCTCCGGGCGGACGCTCTACCACAAGACCACGGAGGCGGTCAAAGCGTTTGTAGGGACCAGAGAAGTGTTTGACCGTTCGAAATGAAGAAACATGTAACAATGTACACACTTAATTGAGGGCTGGTTTTCTTACATGTCGGTTCATGTGTTTATGACTGTGTATGACTGTTTTGAACTGTATATGTATCGATGGTATAACATGATCACCTCTGTGATCTATATTAGGGTTATAACATAGATGCCGTTTTTAAGCACTAAAAAGTATTCACATTGTCTATATCGTCATTCTATATTTGACAGTATAACGCATTGACACCAATGCTCACTTACATGCGGGCCAGTGTACTCAGAATAATAATAAATACTTTTCACTCTTGAATAGGTTGTAATCATGTCCATCAGTTTAGGCGTTGTGTGATGACATGGAACCTAGTCCAGTCGAAACAGCATCTCCCCTGTGTGCGGAAGGTCGGGGGTTTGGTTCCCGACCTCGTCATGCCCAAATGCGCTAAAATATGGTACTTGTTACCACACCTGGCGCTCGGCTTTAATGATATCAAACAAGGACTGGTCGGCTCGGAGTCTATATATTGTGTCTTAGTGGGGTATTCGTATGGTATCTCAATCGGAAAGCACTACAAAACCGGCATTAGTCGGGACGAGTACATATGCATGTATACACACGTAGATATGCAGACAAACAGAGAATACATGTCTAGAAATCAAACTTCACCTCACCTTCCTCAGGTGTGTGCAAATTGACTCTGTCCGATGTTCCCGGTCCGTCTTCATTTACAGCTACTACGTCTATGCTGTAGGGTGTATCTGGGTTCAGGCCTGTTATGTTGTGCTGAATAACGTGGGAGGTACTTTCAATGTCAACCCGAGATATCACCACTGTCATGTATGTTGCACATTCGATCTGCATCTGTGGTACAATCTGTAAAAATGTTAAACATATCTGTCATCAGTTTATGGCGAAGGCTTTTCATAACGTGGAAACAACATGTAGCTGTTAACGAGAACCGAACTGTAAGCGCTGTACCTTGTAAATGTTATAGATCTTATGTTTTTCTCAACACATGAATCAGCTTTACACTCACTATGAAACACAGTTTGAAACTACCTCTACAAACGATTTATGTGTTAACTTCCCCTTTACTTGGGCTTTGGTGGTTCGATTCCCGGCCCCGTCATACCTAAAATACTTCGAATATAGTGTTGTTAGTGTTGAAACACGTGAAAATATATTAATTGTTGTTATGCAGACTGGCCAGTTTAGCGTCAGTATAATATGTCACCTTAGAGTATCCATGCGGTATTAGAGTAACTGAGGCGTGGCGTGTATATCGTTGTGGGCTAGCACTATAAAACCGGCATCATTCCGGACTAGCACAAGGAGCCACACACACGTTGATACATGTGAGAAATAATCTTAAACGAAACGTTCAACCCCATGTCAACCTCACCACCACCATTAAGGCTAATATTCCTCTCTTCAAATAATCAATTTTTCGGCGCAGAACCTGACGTCATAGACATTATATAGAATACTAAACGAGCTCACGTGTAATACTAATTTTATGAAACGAGTGAATAGTTTCATAAAATTGGTTTTACACGGGAGCGAGTTAAGTATTTTATTTATTACTTGCCATTTATAACGTTTTTAGAATTTTACTGTTAAGTATGAATAGGCTGACACCTACACGATCCACGGCATAGTCCAATTAAGTTTAACAGGATAATACTTCAAACACGTAGTTGAAACGTATGAATTTATATTAATACCATACAACGGTCCACCTTTAGAATTGAGGCGTCCGTTCCACAAAATTATCGTAGGGCTAAGACTATCACAACTCACATACGTTAACCTTAACGACTGTTGTTGCGCTACAATACGATCGCCTTGTGGAACGGGCCTTGCGCCTCAAAGTTTACTATAACGTCACAATACCCGATGACGTAATTTGTGGAATTTTGTTGCAAGATCCATCGGCGAAATGATGCCATGTGACGTCAGCCTAGCAACAAGGTGATCTCAGTGATCTATCAACTCCACACGCAATGTCTTTGAATAAGGGATGTTGAGAGCTTTCAATATTTGTTCGTGAAACGTGTTCCGAGAGTACATAAGCACGGGTTTACGATATGTTAGTTAGGTTTGATGCCGTTGGTAGGAATACATGGGTTTCGGCTATTAAGAATATGTTATATTCTCATGGCTTCGGACATGTGTGGGAATTTCAAGGTGCTGGTGATCCTGAATATTTTATAAGTGAGTTTATACTGAGGGTTAAGGACTGTCATGCACAAACATGGTATTCTGAATTGTCTGGATGCTCGAAATTAGAACTGTATTCATTATTTAAGACATCATTATCACTTGAACCGTATCTATTAAATGTATAATCAAAAGAAAAGCGACGTATGCTTACCCTTTTACGTATTGGAGAACTGGGAATTATGCATAACACAGGAAGGAGGGATGGCATCGATAAGACACTCCGGTTCTGTCCATTGTGCAAGTTAAGGGCAGTTGAAAATGAAATTCATTTAATTCTTGTTTGCCCTATTTATGAAGATATTCTCTCAAAATATTTCCCATATTTAGACTTCATTACTGGTAATAATCGTAAAGACACACTGGTTAGAATGTTAAACTCTTCTGATGTAAACTGTCTTGAGAACTTATGTTAAAGATGCTACCTGTCTTCGTTCTTCTTACCTCTAAATATTATTTCATGCAGCACTTGATGTGAAACTAATTTGTATATATATATGTACGTGGGCCTGAGGCCTTATTACCGAATAAACTGATTGATTGATTGATTAAGCACGCGTTTTGGTATTACACAATGTGTAATACAGCTGTATGATTATTAAACGGGTGATCTCTTCACGGGCAAGTAATAACCATTGTTACGTCATGCACAATGGAGGGGTGGTCGGGTAGCCTAGTGGTTAAATGCTATGGCTCGTCATGCCGAAGACCCGGGTTCGATTCCCGACATGGGTACAATTTGTGAAACCCATTTCTGGTGTCCCCAACCGTGATATTGCTCGAATACTGCTCAAAGCGGCGTGAAACCATACTCACTCACTCATGCGCAATGCACTATGTACAATACCCTTACATAACAGTGTATCTTGCACATATCTTGTACACTTGTTTACCATAGTTCTGTTACATTCAGTGCAGTTTATGACGACCCGCCTCACACACATTGACGGACTGCCCGTCCTCACGTCGACAATGTAGTCATAGATATCCCCGTTAGGGCGGAGTGGTCTGCGCCATTCCACAGCAATAGAGAGGGAAGTGTTGTCAAACGACTTCAGATTGGTAACTCTTCCGGCCGCTGAAGACATAATCAATCTGTAATTGCTATGAAATTATGTGAAGCTGACTATTTCCGATGAAACGGTGTTTCCATGCCAAAATTCATCTTTGTGTCTAGTGTGTAATCGCTGTTGATAGCTGTTGTGTTTAAAGACAACTAGCGTTGTTCTCGGATTTAGACTACCAGACATTGACTAGCACTTGTAAATGGTGTAAAATGTCAAATGTTTGAACTTAAAAGGGAATAGCTTTGCATCGGAACCTACCTGAACCTATATTTATTATGATACATTAAAAGTTTTAAAAGTGATTGGGGTGCCCTAATGATATATGTTGCATCAATGACGATTTTACAGCACTGACCATAACAGCACATCATGTACATGTACCCAGATTATTCACATGAGTTATAGTTAAATAACTTACGTTTGAAATGTACAGCTTTTTTGGCAAAGTCATCAGAAACAAACCTTGGAAAATATATTGGATGTTCCGCTAGAAATGTTACGTAAGTCACACACTAAATGTTACTATACAATTTTATTTTATATAAGAGATCAGAATTCTTACGATGTCCTTGTACTCTGATCACGAGGGTATACGGTGAACTAAGGAGGTTCCCACTCTGTGTTTGTATGTTCAGGGCGTACGACACAGCAGAGACAACACCAGTGAAGATGACAGAGATGAGTTCCTGTCCACTGCCGTGGAGAGGTTCATGTCTTTGGTAATATGTATCTCCATCCCTCCCACTGAGTGTCACAATGTACTTGTTTGCATCCCCCTCAGCCTTGGTAAATACAATGGTGATGTCCGGAGCTGTCCTGTTGGTTTTGCTGTCCAGGCCCACGATGGCAACCGGTGCTGAAATATCGGCATATATGTGAGATATGTCGAGAAACGGATCTCACAAACAGATTTAGAATCAGGTGATTCTGGACATGAATAGATTTACACTTATTACCGGTCTAAGGACAGTTAAATCAGAAATTGTGGTTTCCCGATTATATGGCCATATCTGTGGTCCAGTCGGAACGTTATCACCCAGACACTCTAGTCGCTAGCCTCCACCTCAAGTGATATACTAATCCACATACTACGAATAAATAGAAAAGTATGTCATGTATAACGGAAACATTCATATGTACGTGGAAATAATAACCTTTGAAAGAATGTGAGTTGCATGTGTCCCCGGTGAGGTGTATGTTATTTTACGACCTGAATGGGTTTGTACACAACGAGGCTAAAGGTAATGGGCTAGCCATTAGTTTTAACAAGACGTTGACTAACAATAAAAGTAATGATTATATGTTTGCCATGTAAATACATAATGACATTTAGAAAATGGTCAAATGTAGATCAAGATGTTTTATGGTACTTAAAGCCTCCGGTACATATGCAAAACGAGAGTACAAAGAGATGACATCAGTGAGTACACCACAGCTATAGGGATGTGCTGCATACAATACATCTGTGCAGATAAAAGTTACAATGTTCCAAAGTGGGTGTACACAATTATTTTACGAAGTGACTTCACGATACTATGAGATTCTTGCGCCGAGAAAGTGCATGATGATTAAATAGTGCTAACCTAAGAATTGTTTTTATATCATTAGAATTCAAAAGAGATTTTCATAAATACAAATTTGGTAAACGCAGGTATTTCTGTGGAATATATGCTTCCCTAAAATCAGTATAAACAGTACAAACAAGCAGATATGAAGTTCATCCCCTAACAAGGTTGACAGAAAGGACACAATCTCATTGGCTTCGGTATAGAACGATGTCGTCCAATGTTAACCATTATTTCAGACAACCCGAGACGAAATCTTGAATATGTTATACGCAGAGATTTGCATGTTATAACACTTAAATACAATTCAGGTTCAATTAACGATTTAAAAGATCTATACATGACAAATCTTGAAGTGTGGATCTCCAATCCTGCTGAAACATATCTAGTGACTTTCTATGAAATAATCTTAATAAATCATGTTTATTATCGACACCTTGATATAAACACACATGCATTTTGTGAAAAAAGGGTGAAAACAATTGCAAATCGACAATGGCTGCGTTTTGACGCACCGTTTGTCGAATATCAGGCCACCAACATTTTCCAATAACATCTATCCAATTTATATACCAGATTTTTTGTGTAGTCAGGTTCAATGAACTACATACTACCTGTGCGTTTCTTTTTTTGAAGAGTGTATTTGGGATAATACTTTCTCAGTAAAGTACAAATTAAAGTACTCATACTGTCAGGATGAGACACCTTATTGTCAGCACACAAAGTCAGCGATCTAAACCCACTCAGCCACTGAGGCTTTCACAGGTAACGATGAAAGTGTTATCCCAAATCTAATATTTCTTACATTTGACCACATTCCACTGTGAGTATTCACAGCTTTAGGCTATGGGAGCTGTGCCAATTTACACATGTCAGAGGGGTACACAAAGTACATGATCTGGACTTTCATTTTTGTCGAAGCCTCGCTGACTGAGTGGGTTATACGACAGAATTAATGAATATATTCAATTAAAGTATTAATTCATAAATCCTGATGAGTGAAAACACGGTATCTATAATCTGTACCGGATTTTACTCTCACAGCCACATTGTATGACATATTTACAAACAGCTAATGCTTACAGTCCGGTCATTTGGTATAATGCCAAGTAACCCAAACTATTATAATTATCCATTTCTCTTGCCGTTCATTATCTTTAGCTTTTTCTCTGTTCTGATCAATGGACGAAGTTTGATAATAAGAATTATGTTCTGTGACCTCGATCGGGATGGGTTCTTGTAAGAGCAGGATACATTGTCGGTCACTGCTTTAAAACAAACATTATTCTGTTGTTATCGCTAAAATGAACTGAATTATCATTAAACCGCCCGCATATTATCAGAAATGAGTGGGCCACTGTAACTTGATAATGCCCTCATATTGCTTGACGACGGGCCATTATCACACCCGTTGTTAGGTGAGGTCATGGGGATAGGGAAAGGAGACGTCACGGTCAATAGTGACGTCACCTAGTTTGTTTTATGACGTTATCATATTTGTAAAAGTTGGTCTGTGACATTGGTTTTGCATTGATTGTAGTAAAAGTTTCAAAACCGATATTGTTGTTTATGTTTATTTGAAAACGAATTCTATCCATTTTAGCTATAATAACGGTAACGGGCAGTTAATGGAAGACCTCGGGCTTCTGCAATTGATAATGACTTGAAAAATAGAGTTACCCTTATTGGAGGAGGCGGTGGTTTCAGAGACATACATATGCGTGTCGAGATTACACGGAGAGAAAGTATAAGTACAACAAAGTCCTTGTCCAAAGTCATCAGTCCTTGTACCCATAACGCGATCGTTATTTACAGGAAATATGAATCTATTCTGATTAAATAGTTGTATTTTCCCACATGCAGCATATCAGTAATAAAAAAACAATACGTCTTCGAATTGTTTTACTACATAATTCCTCCGTAACATCAGATTCTTCAGTTCACAAAAATCCTGCTAAATGGTTCAATCAAACACGCTCAATTGCAAGTATCGAGTCGTCGCCAAAGACGGTTTTCATGTTATTGTTACCAGGCACGTTTGGCCATGGCCAAGGCGAAGATAAGGAGAGGGAGTTCCCAAAGTGTACAGGTACAACTGTTTTCGTTGTGAGGTTAGCGTAACCCATTCCTCATAACACTTGTTTCATTCTCGTGCTCAACTTGAAAACAATTATAGATTTTATTACTTCACACGCCTGGTGTACAGCAGTTGTCAGTGCGCCTTTACTAGAATGTGGTTGGGGTGGGTTTTCAAGCAGTTTAAAGTTATTTTACATATACTATATTCAATACTTCACCTGACTCTTAGAGGTCTGTTCATTTTGAGAAAAATGCAGATTTTGTAATGATAGCACGATATCAAACTGAAAATGCCCATTTGGGTATACAAAGGATGCAGTTGGTTCCTCATACGTCACAGCTAATAAAGTCATGACCAGGATATCAGCAGAGCAGAGAGTGAGAGAGAGAGAGAGAGAGAGAGAGAGAGAGAGAGAGAGAGAGAGAGAGAGAGAGAGAGAGAGAGAGAGAGGGAGGGGTGTGTGGATGCCGATGATGGGGGCGACACAGTTCCAAATAGCATGCAGCCGACTGACAGTTGTAATACGACTTCAGCAATTACACCAAATTGGACACAAAAATGACAGGAAACCCAGCGGTAGACCACGTGTCTATCCACAAGAGGACCGCCATATGTGCTCGTTGCATCTTCATTACGGTGACGTCATCGAATTTGCCGGGACTGCGACGTCGCAAGTGTCAAAGGATTTACATGCTGTAGGAATTCGGGCTCGCGGACCCAACCAAGGAATTGACTTGACCGGTCAACACTGGCGAAATTGACGTCGGTGATACCGAGCTGCGGGTGGGCAGTAACATGAATGACCAAGGGCACTGTCCAGAGCCAGTTCAACTTGTTCTATCCTGATTGTCCGACACGGGTATATCAACCGAGAGGTGAACGATTGGTTGTGGCATGCAGTTAACCCTTTTAGGGACTTTGGCGTCAAATGTAACAAATTTTATACTCTGGAAAACACTTTCTTAGGAAAGACCATATTCTAGTAGTACTACTTTTGTGGGTTGAGTGTAATCCGGGAATCGAGCCCACTCTCCCAGAGTGAGGCAACTAATCGCATCCAAAGTCAGCGATCTAACCCACTCCACTCAGCCACTGAAGCTTCCACAAAAATAAAGTCCGACAACTGGTAGTTTAGATCACGTACTTTGTGTAGCCCTCTGGTACAGAAGTTATAACCCTTGACGAACACCTTTGATGCAAATACACTTTATCTCACATAACAAGACTGAGATATAGTTCCCCAACTGAAGTGTTGTAGGTGTGAGAAATAATATAGCAAATACATCGATATCGTAGCTCAACTTAACGTTGTTGAAAATTTACTAGACACACATAAATGCTTGTTACCTGAACCAAAAAATTGTCGAATAAGATAGATAAGGTGAGGTGATCATGAGGTGAGGTGAGATTGTGTTCCAACCACAAATAAACAGTAAAACGTCAATGTGAACTATACATACTTGTTCGTTTTGGTGCTGCAAGTACAGCGGTCGTCTTCTCATCGCGTCCCGGCAGATAGGTGATCTTTGTCTTCACAGACACAGTGTACTGTCTCCCCTGAGTCAGGCCTGTGATGGGCGTGGTCCTGATGTCTCTGTCCACACTGATTGGAGTGATGTCCCCTGGTGTAACAGACACCTCATAACCGGTAATGATGGCGTTAGGTGGAGCTGTCCAGGATGCTGTCATGGTGGTTGTGTCGTGTACGTCGGCCGTCACAGAGGTAGGCCGGAGTTGTTCAACTGTTGACATGAACAGAAACAGCCCAGAATGGTGTAGTCAACTATCTTTCACGAATCGAGATAAATACGTGGAATTGAAGTATATGTAGGAAGATAATAATTTACGCAAGTGTCATTTCAATCAATCAATCAGTTTATTCGGTAATATTTTTTTACCTTTTACCCAATAGTAACCATTGTTTACTTAGGCATTATTGAAGATTGATAACGCGATCCACAATAATCAAGAAGGCGTCAAAATATTCAAAAGCCAGGGAAAATTTGTATGTGATCAATTTGTTCGTATATTCCATTGTACATTTTTATGATCTGAGTCTATACTATTTAATAGCACAGAAATAGTTACGCTGTAAACCTAAACATATTTACAGTGTTTTTAAATTTGCAAATATCCCTTTCCGATTTACATGTAAAAATACATTGTTGTTTCAGGTCGCGTAACACGCCCGGAAGTCACTTTCAACCTCTGTTGATTTTGCGAAACCCAGAAGTGTTCTTTCGTCATTATATATTACATGTTGTCATATGTACGTGTGCAATTCACTTATTAAGCTGAGTAGGTCAGCCCACCCATCTAACTGGATTTCATACATGATAGACCACACATAATCTGTAACATCGCAATCTGATCCGCATCCGAAAGTTACCTTAAACTCCATTTCAAAAATATTTTAGAAATTCAGAGAAAAAATATCTCTAATTACAGTCAGTATATTTACTTTTTCCCTTTTAATTCGACATCAGGCGATTTTATATGAAATGAATATTTATGTTTGTATTGAACTGGAACATTACATTTTACATGAAAAGAATATGAAGTGTTATAAACTTACATGTGTGTGCAATCGCATCATGTATGAGTTTACACCTTTCACTTACTGTCTGACCGCCTCAGTGGTCTAGTGGTAGAGCGTCCGCACACACACAGACAGACAGACAGACAGACAGACAGACACACAAACACACACACACACACACACGTGCATGCACGTCGCTAAAATCTTCGACGCGACGTTAAACCAAATTTCAGCTCACCTCACTTACTGTTTTGGAAAAGTGTGATGAACAAAGAGGTCAACAATATTTATCGCTACATGGAAGTAAAGAAAACCGAGTTTGATGAGATCCGGCGTCCGCGAAGCCTTTACACGAAGATCAAAGTCACCAACAGAACAAGAACACACAATGTTAATGCGGCGTTAAGTCTAAAGGCGGGCACATTATCTTTGCTGTTTTTGTGTTGTTTTCAGACGTTTCTGTGCAGGAAGTCATTGAATTGGTGTCCTTTATATATAATTTGTTCATGTTGTAAAATGCCTGAAAAGAAGCACTAGATGATCACAATTAAGTTTCAGGAAGTGCAGTTTATATCCAAACTGTCTTCATTTCGCCACACGTTGTTTTCGTTGAATCACATGTTATCAGACAAGTTTTACCATAAGCAAATAACACACACTGCGAGTCCTAGAGTACACAGAAAGTATGGCTCGTTGAATAAATATAACTAAGTTTTAAATTGCTTGTTACATACAACTTACATTTCTAATGTGGAAAGAAATACACAATCCCCAATGTCATGGTCGATTTTCTAATATTGAAATATGTATGTATAATGTATAATTGGTAAAAGACTCTCTCTCTGTGTGTGTGTGTGTGTGTGTGTGTGTGTGTGTGTGTGTGTGTGTGTGTGTGTGTGTGTGTGTGTGTGTGTGTGTGTGTGTGTGTGTGTGTGTGTTGGTTAAAGCACGCCACACATCTACTGTTCTGGACCCCCAATGCTCATGCCTTCACCCCCCACTGCCCACATGTTACAAAATAGATACATCCAGATAACTGTGTGCAATAGTATAGGAAAGAATATAATAACTTGATTTCATAATGTGTGAAGGTTATGTTAAGTTTACATTACAAATTATGAATTATTTTCCACCATTCCGCGATGTGTGTGACATACTAATAGTGCTTAAATATAATTTAATATAGAAATATTTCGATTTTATATGGAAGACAGTATCGAGGTGACAACCAAAAGAAAGAAGAGCATTTGGATTTTGTGAGGTGAGGTGAAATGGGGTTGACATCGCGTTCAAGATTATTGCACTTATAAGGCGACGTCAATCCGTGTGTGTGTGTGGTTGCTTCTACTAGCCCGGACTAATTAATGCCGATTTTCCAGTGCTAGCCCAGGGAGATACCATGCCTCTGCTTAACATGAATACCGCACTCAGACACAGTAAACTGACTCCGAGCCTACCAGTCCTTGTCTTAGCCAATCTTGTAACGAATTTTGGTATAACGCGGCCGGGGATCGAACACACAACCTTCCGCTCTCTGGGCAGACCCCCTACCACCAGATCACGGAGGCGGTCTGATATCGATTTTGTGCTGCAGAATATGACGAACGCATGTAGTATCTCGCCACCTGTTGATTCACCACGTGGGCAATAATGGTATTTAGTAGGACACTGAACAAACTTCAAATGGTTTTTAGCTATACTTGAATATCATGAATATTTGAATTTTGAAGAATAAACAAGAACAATGTAGGCAAACCCTAAGAAGACTTGTTCACTGAAAGCAAGCGGCTATGTTGAGTAGATGTCGATGCTGCATGTTGAATGGATACTACATATAGATGTAAAATATAGTCGATTTAACCACTTACTGCTGGAACAGTCGGTAGCTCGGTAGTATCCCTGATCACAGCGACAACTACCACTGTAACAGTTGGTACGGGCATCGATACACAAGCCAAGTTGTGAGCAGGTTTGATTGTAGGCGATCTCTGAAATCAATGATTAGGTTGGTAAGGTTGTACGTCTGCGCACATAACAAAATGTTAGACGGTAATAATAAATTAGTTCGTCATGTGATAATATATATATATATATATATATATATATATATATACTTACATGTGACTTACATGTGTGTGCAATCGCATATGACTATATGCTGTAGTTCTCCCGTGGTGTAGAGGCAAATATATTTGATCTCGAGTCAAGCAGTGAAAACAGCGATTTAAATATTAAACGTCAATGCCAGAGAATAACCAGTCTCAATTATCCGACTAAACAGATCCCATTGGGCGTAAAAGGCAAAATAGCAGTCAAGATTACACGAAAGGATCACTGAAAATCAGTGATGAAACCAGGTGTTCGAGAAAAGGATAAGCATATCTATCCTGCCCCACAAACAATACCCCCACCAGAGTAGCTACTTGTAGTAAATGTAAGTAAGTGTCACATTTACTTGTTGTAATATTCCTTTGGACCGAGGTAATCGTCTGACTCCTGCCGTACTGTGTGATGGTATGTGCAACTGTGACTGTATACTCTGTTCCTTGAGACAGGGGCTGAATGTTGTAGGCCTTCTGTTGTGTGGAGGCAGTTCCTGGTGATCCTGGTGATCCTGGAGGTCCTGGAGACCACACTACCGTGTAGATGTAGGTGTACCCCCCAGTGACTTCTGTATTTGTCCAGCTGATGCCAATATTGCCTGTTCCTATGGATTGTGGGTCTGTTATGACTGGTCGTAACACACTAGCTGAAAGTATCCATGATCACATCGATTAGTGAAATATCTAACATCGATAATTATCATCAACGAGGTTATTGGATATAATGGCTTAATGTTCGCCTTAGATTTTCAATAAAATGTCCTGTCATATTTGTTTCTAACATACTTCATAACGTGCAAGTGTTGCTGTCCATCCTCCACTTGTGAAGATTCTGACATAAAAATAATGCATGAAGAATTTCCTGACGGATAGTGCAGTTTGATCATTAATCTGAACTTTTTTCAATTATTATGAATAAAGTTTTGAAGAAGACGTGTATAGTGTGCTCTCTCCCTTCCCACCACCCCCATTCATTTAAAGTAAGATATTTTCGGCCCATAATATAATGCTAGGTATGGTCAATATGTCTACGGTCTACTTCACACGCTCTATATTTTTACAATTAATAAATGTTGTTTGCGACTACAGTCCTACAATATTCTTCATGCACCAAGGATTCACTGAATGTGGCTGCTTTAAAGGACACTGTCAGACAACTTTCCATTTGGCTCAAGGAAGGCTACGCTTATTTGCAATAGGAAGTTCAAGACTGAAAATATTTCAGCGATAAATGCCGTAATGCTGCTGTGAAACAAACAACAACAAAACCTGTGGTTAATGCAATAAAAACAGGAAATATAACACACACAAACAAATGTCCCTGTATTAAACAGTTGTCGAGGGGTATAGGTATAATAACTCACATATTCCTAATATTGGTAAAAATGTGATCTATAAAAGAAGAAAATATATCAAGCTAATTCCATGGAAGTATCGAAGGTATGCCTATTCTTGTTATGGCAGATATTGGGAACTTGATAAATATAGTTTTATATGTTAATGAGATGAATGGACCTCTGTCGATACAAGGTGTTCCTGAAAAGGGTAAGCATATCCTACTTTACCGTTCGCACACGCCACTCACACTATGTATATAAAAAACGTAAGTGTTTGTTTTGTTGCCGCACACCCTACATAAGTGACCCTGTAAAACGACTACGGCTTGTTAACAATCGAGTCTTGATCAGACAATGAAGTGACACGAAAGTGTGTTTACGGTTTTTGTTGAAACTAAAAACGACATAAAACTTGTAAATATTCAGCTGCGTGCAAGTGATGCTAACAGTTATTATATGTGTATGCCCTTCATTGTTTCTGTAAATAACGTTTTATCCTGTATTCTAAATAACAGTTAACATAAGCGGTGTGATAAAAGGATATCGTGAATGACAAACAGAGTGGGTTCAGGGTTTAGTTTAGAGCTTATGGTAACACATCTGTACTGCACGCCACGTTTCAAAAGAATCCACGTCTTTGTAATGACTGTTCTCCTGAACAGCTGAGTGGGGATAAAAGATACTCCACAACTGTGAAATTGGTATTTTCATAGTATACAAAATGAAGTTGTCTCCTTTTATACATATCTTGAACTTTATTCCCACGTTGGTTTACACTAGAGCTCAGTCTCGCCATGTCACAAGCCACAAAGGCCTTATTTTCTGTATATAGATATAAATGAGAGTTTAGCTATTTACATGTTATGATATGTTTGGCATATTTGATGAAATAGTAACACCTGTCGTATATTGGGGCAGAACCAATAACAAAGAAAACCAGTTATGACGGTTTCTATCATTTACTGAGGATGGAGTCATCCACATACACTGCTGACGTCACACAGTAGGCGTGGCACTGCTGTGGTGTAAACAATACCACGTGTTTCTACAGCACTAAATAACATAAATTGGTTGATGCATGTTGATGCATGTCATCGTAACCCAATTGTGTAGATCGGTGCTCATGATATCAATCACTGGATTGTCTGGTCCAGGCTCGATTATTTACAGACCGCCGTCATATAGCTGGATATTGCTGATTGTGGCGTTAAAAAACAACAAACAAACAAACATTCGGGTTCCATCACCCCGAGAATGTCCTTTTCCTATTTTACCACATCTGACAAATGTCATATATTAAACCTTTCACTCAAATCCGTACATTCGTTATTTCTATTGACATGGATGTAGTGGAATTTAACACAACATGAAATATGACTGTTTGACGTCCTACCAAGCATTCTCACTCCCAGCAGAAATATTTTACTTCCAGTTATTAGTGTCATAATCAAACAAATCGACTGGGAAAAAAATGCTAATCAAATGGTACAATGATCTGTCAACACAGACATTTCTAACGGGATATTAACACTTCGACTTTTTGGGATAAAGTGATACTTTAGCTGAACTGAACAAGGACAGAAATGGAAACACTTTAAAATTGTAGACGTGTATATTTATAAGATACATGCAACACAAGCTGTAGATTACCAACACATCAAATCTTTACACAGGCAGATCTAATCAGTTCTACATACATGGCCAGATATTCACGAATGTCATTATTTTTTTTAACGCTAAATGGTAAAATATTACTTTTATCTAGTACATGTATGTCATGTCTCTAAATATTCTCACAACCAAATGTATCACGTATTTGGCAGCTTTTGGCATACTTTTGGCATGTGTATGTCAGAGCAGGGGAACTCTTTAACCCTTTGACTTCCAACAGGATCCACAGAATCGAAGTGATCAGTGAGGGTGAGGAAAATGTTTGTTGACTAAGTCTGGCAATTATTATCCAGCAAATGATTGATTTCATTCATTCGTGTTTGATAATATCGAATTGATTCAATGCCTAAATGTAGGAGTTCTGATGACCAATTACAGGCTACAATTTGATACTTACATTGAACACAAGAGGCTGGACTTGTATTCGGCCTATACCACCCATTCTTACAGAGGCACTTCTTGTCTGATGGCACTGTAGTCTGTATACAATCTATATTGGAGTCTGAGGTGTCACACTGGGATGTCTCATTACATGCACCGCCGAAGACCTTTTCTGAAAGTAGCGTATTATAACACTACAGAAATGTCCTACAAACGGGGTAACGGTGATATGTTTTGTCATCAAAGCTCATTCAAAAGTTATTATACAAACTACAGGAAGTAAATAAACCAAAATGCTAGAGAATAATTAGCTATATCCTGCTGTCAACGAGCTACAGATGAGCATTCCCCTCTATACATGTGCATGACCTACAGGTTATAGCACTATATACTACAGCATCGCTGATTTCAGTACCAGTCAACGCGGGTTTTGCGGTAAATGTTTCTGGTGTCTCTCTCTCCCCTCCCCCCTTCTCTCTCCGTCAAAACGCTGAAATATTGAATACAACTCATTCACTACAACTTTACTTCTTGATTTCGATACCGAAGCAAAGTGGTTCGTTGTGTTGAGTATTTTTGGTGAGGAGTCTTGAATTTGATATATTTGATCTCTAGTCAACTATTGACAACAACTATCAAATTATCAAAAGTCAATGCCAGAGAATAACCAGTCTCGATTATCCAACTAAACCGATTCCACTGGGCGTAAAAGGCAAATTGTCGGTCAAACGTAGGTGAATGGATCACTGAAATTTTGTGATGACACCAGGTGTTCGAGAAAAGGGTAAGCATATCCTGTCCTACAAATAACTCAAACAGGAAGCCCATAGGTGTATCGCTCACCTGGATATTTATGCAATCATGATGAAATATATATTTGCATTGTACATGTATATAATACTGCAAATATTTTGACTCTGTCAGCATCTAAAATAGGTGGATGGCAAATATGACAGCATGAACGTGTATTTCTCAAGATACAAATGTATGGTAGAGGTGTGTTTATATCTACTCATATCCCTGATGTATTTGCTCTGTTATTTGCTGGTGATGTGCCAACCGTCTCTGGTACTGCTTTACAGCTTCAAAAGAAAATAAAGACCCTGGAGAAATTCTGTGATGATACTGGCATGAAAGTCAATCTGAATAAGACTAAAATAATAGTTTTTTCGGAATGGAGGTCCTTTTCGCAGTTATGAAAAGTGTTTTTTGAATGGTCATAAGCTAGAAGTTGTCAACATGTACAGATATTTAGGAATTATTTTCTCACCAAAGTTATCTTGGACCAAGGCCCAAGCACGTCTAGTAGCCCAGGCAAGGAAAGCACTTCTATCAATATATAATTATCCAAAACAATTTGGCTACATTAATCACCATGATCTTTTTAATATTTTTGATGCAATGATTTCACCAATCCTATGTTATGGATCAGAGATCTGGGGAACCAGCTACTGTAACATTATTGAGAGTGTCCATAACAGATTCTCCAAATCCTGTTTGAAGCAAAATAAGTTCACCAACAACAACATGATTCTAGGAGACTGTGGTAGGATCCCCAACAGTATAACTACATGTACATGTCAAGAGCAGTCAAGTACTGGTGCAGACTAATTCAGATGGAACAACACAGGCTAACAATCCAAGCTTATTATATACTAAAATCTCTTGATAATGGTAAAATTACATGGGCACCACATATTAGAATGATTTTATTCCAGTTGGATTTGGTTTTGTTTGGCTAAGCCAAGACATTGGTAATATTCAACATTTCATGACAGATTTTAAACGAAGATTTTACGACTGCCTTACACAATATTGGCACTTTTCCCTTACATTATCAATACAATTACTACTCACGGTTCAAGCCATTACTAACTGTGGAATCATATATTACTTGTGATATAGCTATGTTCCGGTGTAATAATTTCAGACTTGCTGTTGAACTTGGGCGTCACAAAAACATCCCATATAATGAACGTGTCTGCACTTTCTGTTTTTCAAAGGGACATAACCATGTTGAAGATGAATTCCATGTTCTTATGACTTGTGAACAGTATTCTCGAGCAAGAAGAAACTCTTTTCCCAAGCGTCTCGTTATCCCTCCCTCTATTGTGAATATTATAAGACGTATGTCAGCTGAAAACGAACAAATTATAAAAGGCTTAGGTAAATTTCTCTCCAAGTCATGAAAATCGAAAGGTAACACAGTGTGGAATGGTAAATCATTATTAAATCTAATCAGCATGCAAATATATATACAGTATATTTCCATTGTATTATTGGCCGTTGGCCTGAAGTACCGAATAAATTTGTCTGTCTGTCTGTCTGGGGGTGGGGGAGGGTTGAGTGAATGGTGGTATGGGGGGGGGGGGGGGGGGGGTCAGCTCCATCATTTGTACAATTTTGAATCCTCACCACCAGAATACATTGTTGACGTACGGACGACGGATGGATGGACGCCACGGTATCCCATAAGCTCAACTTGGTACTTCAGACCCGGTGAGCTAATAATACAGATTAACTTAGGTATTTGTAGAACATTTTAGTAAGTTTGGCATTTACTTGTTGTAAATGCTTTTGGGTCCGAGGTAATCGTCTGACTTCTGCCGTACAGTGTGAGTGTAAGTGCAACTGTGACTGTATACACTGTTCCTGGTGACAGGGGCTGGATGTTGTAGTTCTTCTGTGAGGCAGATACTGAAGATACTGGAGATCCTGGAGACCACGCTACCGTATAGCCGTAGGAGTATCCTCCAGTGACATCTGTATTTGTCCAGCTGATATAAATATTGCCTGTTCCTATGGATGGTGTGTCTACGATGGCTGGTTGTAGTGAGTTAGCTGAAACAAATACATGTTCACAGAGATCACTGTACCGTGAGTCAACAGCCATGATCAACTGGCACGGTCGACACTGTTGTCCATGTGCAATGAACATGATGTTTGGGTTATTGGGAAAGTGGTATATGGTATTGTGATCCTTTTATATTTGACTATTTTGGCCCCTTCATTTGTAACAGTCCTTCAACTTCAAGTCCTGCAATACTATTTGAAACAAGGAAAAGAACTTTATCACTATCCCCCTCCATGGGGCACATTAAAAGTTTGTTTGTTCATGTAGTACCGAATAAAAACTATCAAAATATTACTATAAAGCCCCACAAAGAAATCAGAATCTCATCGGAAAAAAATAATTAAATGTTAGATTAATACACACAAAAGGACCCTTCTCTTGAAAAATAAATCAAACTTCATTAGTATCTCTTTGATATGTTAACGTCAGTAGTTTCTTAGAAATCTTGTCCCCATTGCAGACACGATACACCAAGTAAACAAAACATGGATCAAGGGCCTTAACTCTGTTAATAAAATACGGACCAATTTTCTCAATCTTTTAGACAAGCATGCAAAATTTCATTCGAGTAACTTCAGCAGTTTCTGAGTAAACCTGTCCCCATTGGACACAATGTGCACTAAGTTGAAGAGCGCGGATCAAGGGCCATAACTCTGTAAAAAGTAACTGTACGACACCAATGTCCTACTCATTTGAGATCGCGTGTGTAAAATTTCATTTCTCTAACGTGAATAGTTTTTGGGGGAAAAATTGTCCACATTGAGAAGCGGACTGACAGACGGACGAACTCAAAAGTCAGAACTTTGACGCCAGACGTTCCAACAACCCCTCCCCCAATTTGTGGTGGGGGATAATGATACCTATGTTGGAATGAATGAGGTAAGTTAAATGTTGAGACTGTGCCAGTCAATACTCAATGAATAAAAATCGTTTACACAGCGACAGGACATTACCTCACTTTTTCATCGCTTTAACAATTTTGCATTGGAGCTTGCGTACACATTCTGTGTCAAAAAAGAAATGCTTGTTCAGGTGGTGATCTGAAAGGGCAATTGTATTTTGCTTAACGCCAAGATAAAGTAAAATCAGGCACTTAACTAAGTCTAGTTAGAAACTTACTGTCCGTACAATATGATGATGGTGATGGCTTATACATCCCATCTTTACAGAGGTAACTTTTCTCTGTTTGCCATGCAATCTGTACACAGTCTGTGTTTGGGTCTGAGTTGTGGCACTGGGCCTTGTTACTACATACTCCACCAAAGACTTGCTAACTATTTGATACTTACTTTCAACACAAGGTGATGTATTTGGCCTATACCATCCAGCCTTACAGAGGCACTTCTTGTCTGCTGTAATCTGGACACACTCTATGTTGGTGTCTGAGGTGTCACACTGGGATGTCTCACTACATACATCGCCGAAGGCTTGTTCTGAAAGAAGCGTATCATAACAGTACAGAAATACCTTACGAACGGGGTAACGGTGATTTGTATTGTCATCAAATTAAAGCTTTATAAACAGTTATTATATCAACTAAAGAACGAAAATAAACAAGATACAAGATAATAATAAGCTATATCCTTCTGTCAACGAGGTACAGATGCGTATTTTCCATGTTACTACTCACTCCGCCACAAACTTGCTCTGAAAGTAATGCATACTATCAATACAGAAATATGTAGAAAAACCGTGTATTTCTTATAAAGGCTGAACGTGAGTCCTTCATTGACAAAAGCTATTGAAAAACGTGTAACTTAGCACACGGGTGGAATGATATGTGGTAGTGGATTTAACAATGTAATTGTGGCATTGCCAACTTTTGAACATAACAGCTATATACATGTATTTATTTTAAACAATTCACTGTCTGTAAAGTGCTTGCTGACACATAACAACCAACATGACCTCGTTTAGATGAAATATGTTATTTTGAGAATGTCAAGAGAAGAAAATCAAGTTATATCTTGTAATACGACTATATCTCATGCCATCATGGACAACAATATTAGGGTGGAACTTAACTATTCGTTTCAAATGTCCTAGGGACCGAGATAGTCGTCTGGCTCCTGCCGTACTGTGTGATAGTAAGTAGGACTGTGACTGTATACTCTGTTCCTGGAGACAGGGGCTGAATGTTGTAGTTCTTCTGTTGTGTGGAGGCAGATCCTGGTGATCCTGGTGATCCTGGGGGTCCTGGAGACCACTCTACCTTATATATCTTAGAGTACCCCCCAGTGACATCTGTATTTGCCCAGCTGATGCCAATATTGCCTGTTCCTATGGATGGTGGGTCTGTGATGACTGGTCGTAGTACACTAGCTGAAAGCATTCATGATCACATCGATTAGTGAAATAACTAACAACGTCGATAATTATCATCAACAGGGTTATTGGATATAATGGCTTATTAATATACGCCTTTGATTATTAATAAAAATGCCCTGTCATAGTTGTTTCTAACACAACACAACGTGCAAGTGTTGCCGTCCATGCTCCACTGACATAAAAATAATGCATTAAGAACGTCCCACACTTGAAACGGACAGTGCAGTTTGATCATTCATCTGAACATTTTGCACTTATTATGAATAAAAGTTTGAAGAAGACGTGTATATGCATAGCCCACCACCCCACTTCAATTAAAGTGAGATATTTTCGGACCATAATATACTGAACCCCTAAAGAAACGCCACCCCAAGTAACATTGCATGAAAATTTGGGTAATTTTGGTCAGTTTCTAAAATTTAACATTACCTTGTCCGGAAAAATGAAATTTGATGATACAAAAACCAAAGCAGACCTCGACGTCAAGATCGTCAAATTGTGCGACAGCATCTTCAAGATCGCTTTGTTACTGCTGCGGAAACTGCTCGACAGGCCTTGGAGACACACCAACGACACATTAGTGCGGACACCGTGCGTCGACGATTGACGAGCAGACACCTCCACTGTCACAGGCCACACCGAGGACCCATTCTGACACCACATCATCGTCAGGGTCGTCTTCAGTGGGCAACACGGCACCAGCATTGGCGCCACCAGCAGTGGGGAAGAGTCCTCTTCTCAGACGAGAGTCGTTACTGTACCTCAACATCCAATGGAAGAGAATGAGTCTGGCGACGCCGTGGGGAACGTTATTCGGATGCTTGTGTTGTTGAGAGTTGTGGGGTGGTCCGAGCATCATTGTGTGGGGTGGAATTGATCTTGCACAGAGTGTCGGCCCTGTGGTCTTCCAGAACATCGGTCCAGGGAGAGGCAAATGTGTCCCAGCAGCTGGGTACATTGATCAAGTCTTGAGATCACGAGCCATACCTCATTTGGCACGTCGCCACAACCACGAGTTTCAGCATGATAACGCCCGTGCCCACACTGTGAGAGCAACAAGAGACTTCCTCCAGCAGAATGGCATCAGAACCATGCAGTGACCTGCCCTCAGTCCCTATTTAAATCCCATTGAGCACCTGCGGGACGAGATTCAAAGACGGCTGAATGAACTGCGTCAGGCGTTCCTCAGAGTGTGGGCTCAAGTGCCTATGGCCTTCATCAACCGCCTCATCCGTTCCATGTATCGACGTTGCACGGCAGTCATCAATGCACATGACGGACACACGAGATACTGACTTGTGATGCCATTTTCTCAGAGACTAGTGTTGTGTTTCACTTTAAGAACATTTCACACTCTAGGTTCAACCTTGATGATCACTTTTCCACGTTTCATCTTTTTAGTATCTCACAAAGTATGTTTACAGTGTTTGGACAAATAAGGTTTATCGTACATCTATCCATGGAGACATTTCTTTTGCGGTTCAGTATATAATGCTAGGTGTATATGGTCAATGTGTCTGTGGTCTACTCCACACACTCTATGTTTTTACTATTAATAAATGCTGTATGCGACGAGAGTCCTACAATATTCTTCATGCAGCAAGGATTCACTGAATATGGCTGCTTAAATGGAAACTTTCAGACAACTTTCCACTTGGAACTTCGGACGGTTCCCTTCTCGTGAATCGCGTCAGTCGAGGTGCATATAATCTAATCTTCACTCGCCTGTTATATTATCATTACATCTTACCAAGGAGATTATTAGTGGGTAAAGTGATTTAGTTTGTGTTGTTCGTATGTGAACCTAAGTAGTATTGTTAGGAATAATGTCGCATTCTAGTCCTGAGTAAAATCTCAGCGTAAAAAAACATTTCATAATAAAAAGTCTCTGCTGAAGCGTGAATTTCTTTTATTCCCTGTCACGACCTTACAGAGCTTTTCCTTGCTCCTTCATGAGGTGAATGCTGAGTAAGTGCATGGGGCATTAAAACAAAATATAATTCACATTTTGCGTTACCTATTTAACGATTTAACACAATTCTTTAATGAAAAATGTTTTCTTCAGCATTACGCTGCATGACATCAGGAAGATGAGGGAATATTTCCTCACTGACCTTTATATTATTTCTGAATCAGGTGGGTAAATCAGTCGAAGGAAATTGCCTATTTGACCTTTATTGAATTTGAACTCTGTCAGATCATCGATTTACATGAAGCTGAAGCTGATGTTTTGATGTACCAATCTAAGCAGAAAAAAGTCATATGCATTAAGAAACTGATCAGTAAGAAATGGAGCACAAATGATGCCCAAATAATGCCTACTAAATGTTTTATCCCCAAATTTCATATCGATGTTATCATTGAGGCATTACAGTTTTTCACATGTTGTTTTCTCAGTAAACTGCAGATGACTTTGCTGTCATTTTGACAAATTGTTCTCAACCTCTGTAACTAGGTCTGTGGTCATCACGTTTTGTAACAAACGCCGAATGGATCAAGGAATATTAAAGAATGTCAACAAGGGGTGACGTTTTGAAAAATTACATTTGTTTCCCAAATGTCAAGAACGCGCCGAGAAACCAACATCTTAAACTTGAATAAACTGATAAAATGGCGACAGTGCAAACACACGATCTCAATTTCAGTAAAAATAGTAAATATCCCGTCTCGCGTTCTTGTATTTTCGCTAATTAGACGCAGTCCGTGCGTGTGCGTATGCGTAAACGTATAACATCAATGCCCACTGAAAGGCTTTCATTGATATACTTCTGCCATGGTCTTGTAGCACACGAACGCGCTTCGCCTGCTCACTACTGATCGCTCTACCACTGCGCTATCACATACTCGTTTAACGGGTCATTAGCACCCGAATAACCCTTAGACTGAAAAGGGATGTTGGATCGTGCAGCGGGAGTCATTGGAGCGTGAGCCATGGTTACGAGTCACACATCCAACGATACCGGGAAAGATTAGTTAAGTTTACGATGCCCGAAAAGGCTGCTGAAAATCGGCAAAATTGAGAGACGGAGCGCCTGACGATCACCTGTGAGCATTGGCCATGTTTTTGACTCGGAGTTATTTTCTTGCGGCGACCGGTGGTCCACACCCCGATATCGGTAATGGATCTGTGACTCATCTTCCGGTAGCCTACCAGTGACCCAGTGAGGAAATGGGACAAATTTTGCAGTGGGCAAGTGTGGTATGGTCACCGGAGAATAGCCGAAAGGTCATCTGCCGGGAATCGGTCAATACTCGGACGATTAACCCAAGTCGTAAGGTGACCAACGGGAGTCCGGGCAAGCATCGAGCAGGCGCCGAGCGGATATGCTTCGTCGGACACCGGGAATGTTGGCGTGCCTGTTACGGAGTGTATATAATGGTCTAAATGGGATGAGCAGCATAGAATGTCTTCGGGATGCCTGTCCCTCCATACACACTGAGACTGGCCTGGCTCCGTATGCAGTACGCTAGAGCCCGACACCGTCACAACGTGATCCTGGCAGCGCTGGTACAACAACACGGTACAAAAACGGCGAACACGAACTATGATAAGCCGGGCACTGAGCGGGCTTTTTTTATAGCGAGCAGGAAAACGAGCCGTGTTCATCTGGTTTACATCGGACGGGCACCGTCCGGGTATCGGGAGCTTACCGGCCGATTCCAGCCAGATGACCAGTCAATCACTGGACGGTATAAGACTACCATTTTGTCCAAAATCCTTCGGGTATCTACCGATCATCTTTTGTTTTATGACTCCTGCACAGATGTGTCACAGAAACCATCGGTGAAACCCACCGACTCCCCTACATCGTCCGGCGACCGTTGTATATGTGCCTGAGACATAAAACTGCCGGCCTTTGTAGTATTTTGGAAGTGAATGTTTTCGTTTGACAAGAACTTCATGCCAGCAACCTGTGATAATCTGGAAACATGCTTTTAAGAGTTCGGCGTCTTTCAATTAATCATCTACAGTACACATATTATCGCTCCTTATGCGGCCGACACGTGGTGACCTCTTTTCAAACCGCTGTTAATTCTACTCCACGTCCTGACTGTGTGCTGCATGTTGATGACAATGTTGTTGTAACATAAATATTTTTTTCAGGTCAGCTGATTTCATCCATGCGAGCATTATCTCTTTCTTCTTCTTCTTCTTCTTCTCGCGAAGATAACTTTAATTATGTGTTGGCACGTCCGATAATATCAACATTTTGCCTAGCAGTCAACGTTCCTGAAATGGCAGGTCACTGATCCACTGTTAACGTCATCACAAGTCAATAGCGTCTGTGCCTTCCTTGAGAGTTGAAAACTGTCTTACATCTCCTGCCCATCAGACAAATCAGAGAACGGATCATTGAGTGGTGCCCCACTCTTTTGGAAAAGCTAGAGCCAGGTGTGGCAGAGTTTCTTGTTGTGGTTGTCGCTGTCGAAGTCGTCAGTCCAACTCGTCCCATAAATGTTTTATTGGTCTAAATCCGACAATTGGTAGGGCCAAGGTAGGGCATAAATGTTGTTGATCTGTAGAAGGGCAGCCTCGTGCTGTGAGGCCTAACGTTGTCGTTGTTCTGCCGTTGTTTGAGACGGCTGCCCACATCATGACCTGTCACCACCAAGTCTGTCAGTCTGTCAGTCTCATGTACTCAGTTTGCCGCAGAAACGTTTATTACGACGTCTATAAATACATGTTCCATCGTGCCAATGAAACGGAAAGCTGGACTCGTCTCTAAACCGGACATGTCTCCAACACAGCTGAGGCTATACTCTATGCACCTGATTCCACTGAGGTCGTCGTTGGCGATGTTTCTGTATCAAAACAATACCACGTTTGGCACGAATGCCTGCCTGGCGCAGGCGGTACCGAAACGGTCCGTTCTGTGACGATCCAGTGCGTTGGTAGTCCCACAGGTTCTACATAATCTCGGTCGGTCGCCTTTTGATCCATGTTGTTTATAGCGGTCTCACAGTCTTGTGATGGTGCTTAGGGACACATTAAA